ACTTCCTGGCCCTAAGGTGAGCAGTTTTGCACCAGCTACCTGTCAGGATGTGCTACCTCATCACAGGCCCAAAAGAACAGGACCAACTGATCATAGATTGTAACTGCGGAAACCAAAAGCCATGACAAACCTCCTGTCTTTATAAGTCCATTATCCCAGGCATTTGGTATAGTGGCAGAAAGCTGCCCAACACAGCATCTTATTGTCTGTACTCACCCATATTCTTGGGATGACATGAGATGACCCAATTCCCACGTGATGACGTGAAGTATGAGGAATGACAAAAGCACTGTCCTGTAGTGTTAGGTCACTAAGAATCATCCAAGTCAGGGGGTTCTGGGTCATTTCCCATTTAGTATTTTCAGGCCCAGTTTTCCTCTGGCTAACTGAAGTGGGAAAGATGAAACCCTAGATAAAAGGAGACTTCTGTATCCCTGACTAATCTTTGTTGTGCTTTTAAAAAACTGTGACACATAGGGGCCGGTGACTAACTCAATGGTTCTGACTCCTGCCTCTCAAGTCTAAGGTCCCGAGTTCAATCCTCAGTACGAAAAACAAAACAAAACAAAACAAAACAAAAAACCTGGTGACCCATAATTTGCCAAGACTGGAGAGAATCGGCAACCTTGAATGCTAATCTTTGGCTGAAGAGCTCAACAATGTAAGATTAGGTTCTGGGCAGATTACGGCCCATCTCTACCAGTTTTCCACCGAGTAACTGGAACCCTGAAGTTTGTAGTCAGGATAATTGGCAAGAAGGAAACGGCATCAAAGGAGTAAAGAATACTGTATGGAGGAATGGCCTCCTTAGAATTCCAGAGGTCTTTGAGCCAGTTTGTCTTGGGCTGATCTTTTGTAGAAGCTCCCTACGAAATGGAGAAAGGAAGAAGCATATGCCATTTGTCTTTTGAAGGAAGTCACACCTGAGTTGTGGCCTGCTGTGTTTTCTTTTTAATAAACAGGCTTCATTTTAAAGAGCAGTTTTATGCTTACAGAAATATTTAACAGAAAAATAAAGAGTTCCCATATATCCCTTACCACAGTTTCAAACCCTGTTGTTAACATTTTTACATTGTTGTGACATTTGTTACAACTGATAAACCACTCTGGATGCCTTTATTTTTAATTTTCTTTTTGCTTTGCCAAAGAGAAATGGAGTTTGATGTAACAGAAGACAAGAATCCATGGATAGAATTTCAGGGTCCAATGTCCAGCCAACCTTCTAGAAACCACCGCTTGCTGAGGTTTGGTTTAGCATCCAAGAAGAGAATCACAGTATCTGAAAAGGCTACCAAAGTTTCCTTCCTTTTGGAATACATATCTGTGTAAGTCTGGTCCTCTTCATATACTTCACCCACAATAACATATTGTATAACAGATTGAAAGCAGGAGCAATTATGAGACTCTAAATGTCTTCTATGAAACCAGATGTTAGAGATTTGCAGAAATGTAAAATAATGCCATGGAAAATTATTATTAGTAAAATCCCATGGTTTCCATTAGGACTGATTCATGTTATACAGTTCTCATGGTTTTGACAAATGCATATGGCCACGTATGCACCATTGCAGGGTTCTGTTACAGAGTACAGGCCCTTTAATCCCCTAAAAATGCCCTGTGCTTGACAAATTTCTCCCTCCTTTCCTCATCTTCCAACCCCTGGCATCACTGATCTTTTTACTGTCTCTGTAGTTTTGCCTTTTCCAAAATGGCATATTGTTGGATGTGAGGAGTTGAATTGTGTCCCAGAAATAGATATTTTGTAGTTCCTACCTCTAGCACCTCAGAATTGCTTTTATTTGGGAATTGCAAATGTAATTAGTTTAAAATCTCACTGGAAGAGAGCGGGCCCTTCATCCAATGTAAGTGATTTCCTCTGAAGAAGAGAGTCATTGGGACACAGACACAAGGGGACCATCACGTGACACCGAAGGAGGACATGGGAGCTATGCAGCCAGGAGCTCAGAAGGCCCGGGATCGTTGGACCCTCAGGCAGCTAAGACAAAAGCAGGGAACACATTCTCTGCAAGAGGCTCCAGGGTAATGTAGCCCTGCCAATATCTTGAATTTGGATTTCCAGCCTCCAGAACTGTGAAAGAATAAATTCCTGTTGTTTTAAGTCACAAGTGTGTGGTAATTTGTTAAATGAGCCCTTGGATATGAGGTGTGCTCAAAATATATGGCAAATGTTTAAATTTTAAAACATTGTTACAGTAAAAGACACATTGCCATTAACCCCCGCAACATACTCCACCTGGATTTGAACACACTAACCCCACCATTCTTGGCACTTTCTGAAAGCCATTCTGAAAGTTCTTTGTCATGAGTGTATGAAATGTGATAAAAAATATGGTGCATGCTGATGTCAAGTGCCAACAGCAGAAAGGCAGCTTATAGAAACATTACATTACACCTTGTTCACCCGATCTGGCACCATGTGATTTCTGGCTCTTCCCCAAATCTAAGTGACCATGAAAGGTAAGAGGTTTTAGTGGGTTCAGGACATTGAGGCAGCCATGACAGTGTACCTTAAAGACATGAAAAAGCACTTCCAGAACTGCTTCAGAAAGTGGCAAGAACAATGGGATAAGCCTGTTTGAAGCAAGAAGGAGTATTTTGAGACAGGCTAGTGGCAATGTCCTTTACTATAATTGTTTAGACATTCACTGTATTTTTTATTACACCTCATACTAATATGTTACAATTCTGCATTGCATCATAGACATTTTAGCCTGGTTCTTTCCCTTAGAAATGTGTATTTAAAGTTCCTTCAGGTCTTTTTACATCCTGGTAATTCATTTTTTTTTATTATTGTATGACATTTCACTGTATAGATACATTACAATTTTATTATTCATTCATCTATTGTTTCTTCCTCATTTTGGGTGCTTATAAATATTTCTACTTTGTAGAAATATTTGTGTGTAGGTTTGCATGTGGACAGAAGTCAGTCTTGTGTTTTCTTTCACTTTTGTTCATACACTGGTACTTAAGGAACACAATGCCACTGGGTACTCTCTGTAGTATGCAAATTATCTTTAGTTTCCCTTCTGTCCTTAATTCTTTCAACAAATACTAAGTGTATCCTGCGGGCCAGGGATTGTGCTGAACATTGCAACCCTAGTAATAAAGGCAGTACAGATGGCCCCTGTTTCCATGAAGCCTGTATTTGAGGAGCAGAGATCTTATAATTCAAGTAGCTTGTACATAATTACAAATCATCATAAGAAGGAAATATGCAGGAATCAAATGCTTTGCTGAGGGTACAGGGTCCTGGGTTCCCCGAGCTGGGAAGAGCCTGGGCTCATGCTGGGTATTGAAAGGAGGTAGAGGGACTGATTTGTGTTGAACCAGGGTAAGATGGAGGCAGATGGCAAGAAAAGGGCTACAGAAGGAGGAGGGAGAGCTGCTATTTTGTGCCACTGAAGCTATCAAAAATAGGAGATATGATCAAATGTGTGAGTTTCAGGGTTTTAAATGAATGACAGCTATGCGGTGACCTCTAAACAAATACCAGTCTGCAAATTTGCCCCTCCCAACATCTAGAACCCCATCTGTCTCCCTTCCCTGGTGAGATTTTTCTGTAAGGCCTGGATTTCAGCAGGGCTGTGTCATGGCCCCCGACGCAGTGTGAATGGCGCCCCCTGCAGGTGCACAGGGGCGGTGCAGTGATGGCACATCTGCTCTGCATTAGGTTCCCCTTGGGTCATTTTATCCCTAGACCAGTTCAGGAGGGGCAGGGGACAATGTTGCCTCTGGTTAGCTCTGTCTTGTATTGTCGTATAACAGCTAAAATTGCTGGTTCAAATAGAAATATTTAGTACCTTTTTCTCATGATTTATTTGGCCTTATTGAACCAGATTTAAATAAAATAACTTCCCACCCTACCAGATGATGCCTCTTAAAATGGTCAGATAAAAATAATCCCCAAAACAAATCTCTCCTTATTTTTCCCACGGTGGGAGGAAACTGAAGCAGAGCTGAGGAACTGAAGAAACTGCCCACTGTGACCCAGCTTCCTCTGGCTCCCAGTTCCCAGTCAAGGGAATTGCTCTGCTTATAGTCATGTGGATATACATTACGATAACAGTTAATATTTATGGAGCACTTACGAGTACTAAATACAGCCCTAAATTCTTTTCATGTGTTATTTCATTTAATTTTCATGACAACCCACTGAAAGAGATGTTCTAATTGCACTCTGATTGCAGAGGGGATGTCAGGAATTTCCACTCCAAGTCCCACAAGGGGTAACGGGCAGAGCTAGGTCTCGAGCCCGGGTCGTCAGATGTCACAGCCACATGGCTCCTCATGCTGCTGCCCCTGGCTGTAGCCTACTGGCACAGGGGTGCCGAATCCGTAACTCGGCTAGCGCACAATCAATGCCCTGGTAGAAACAGCTGTGTCAAAATGGGAACAGGGGTTGCTCGTGAGGCAAACGAACTGTTGTCTGGGAATATAAACTGAGGAATACAGAGGAAGGGGCAGACATCAAAACTCCCACGATGTGAGTGTGGGTAAACCGAGGCCAGAAGAACACAGAGGACTGGAGGGGTGTGACCTGCAGCAGAGGCGTCAGGGAAAGCCGCGCAGAGCTGGACAACGAGGACAGTTGCGGGAGGAGACTGAGGCGCCTGAGATCGACCCTGAGTTGCAGCTTTCTGCCTGTACTACCGACACCCAGGAACCCCTGCCTGAAAGCCGAAAGCTGCTGTGCTGTGTTCCAGAAGGAAGACGACTCCCGGGAGGGTGGCCAGGCCCTCCGAGGGCAACTCCAGACCTCCCGGGCCTGAGGGCGGAGAGCACCGCTCCCGCTCGGCCCCTGCCCCGGAAGGACTTTCACGGGAGGCTCCGCCCCTAGGCCTCATTTTTTTCTCACGAGAGTCTTCCTCCTCACATCATCAGTACCATCTCAATAAATCCTCATTTCCATTTCGTGAAGTTGCTTAACGCTACTTTTTTGAGGGGGTGAGAACAAAACGAAGAACACTGTTTTTATAAAAAAGTGAAACTGTTTCTTTACATTTTCTTCAAGTCCCATCCTCCCTCCCGGGATTAGAGATAGAATTAAAAACATCCAATTCCATCTAGGAGTGATAGCTTTTTAAAATCAAAGCATGTAAAAGTAAGGTTCACCCAGATTTTTACCGTTTTAAGTGTTGCAAATTCCAAATACCTTTCAGTAGTGAAAGGTGTTTTGTTTTCTTCCCGTGTAGAAACGCAGTGTTGATCACCCACGTGCATGAATGGCCTAGGTAATAACTTTCCGCTGAGTCGAATAATGTCTAAAATTGGTCTCACGCATTCCCTCCACTGGCAATCACACGCCTCAAGAACGGACTTCAAGGCCAGTTTGACGTCCGCCGATTTGCTCCCTACCCTCAGGACGGAGGGTGGAAGTAGGGCTCCTGAACACCGGAAGGCGGCTCACAAGATTTCCTGCCTTCTCCACCCGTTTTCACCGCTTTCCGACCGCCACGTCCAGCAGAACTTCTAGCTCCTCTGTGCCACAGTTGTCTCATCTGTAAGCCAGGGCGTATAACAGTAAATTTAGGAGTAGCTAACAGGATTTTTATGAGATTTTGATGACAACCTGTATGTAAACACAGTAAGGTAATGATTGTTTCAGGTTTCCCTTTAGCACCGATTTTTGGCTATAAGCTGTTTCAATTTTGCTTTATTTCTATTTATTTATTTAGGTATCGGGAATTGAACTCAGGACCTTGTGCTTGAGAGCCAGGTGCGGTGCCACTGAGCTAAGTCCCCAGCCCTCAGTTTTGCTTTATTAATATTGGGTGTATCTATTTTTATTAATTGGTTGGATGACTTTGAGCAAAATCACTCAATCACCTCAGCAACTTTCTTTTCTCTTTCTTTCTTTCTTTCTTTCTTTCTTTCTTTCTTTCTTTCTTTCTTTCTTTCTTTCTTTCTTTCTTTCTTTCTTT